TGAGTAAAAAATGCTGACCATCAGGTGTATAATGAAAAGTATTAATGAAAGAGAAATATTCCATCTTGTCTATCTTCTAATTTATACTTTCGAAAGACATAACTGCGAACAATGTGATCAAAGAGTAGGTATCTTGGTTCTTCTACAAATTCGTTTTAGACATATATATATATACTCGGTCATGCAAGGAATTTTGAGAAATGGTAAGAATAAACTACCGCTCTGAGGGAGTGGTTCGGAATTATTCCATTGGTATCAATAACTGGATGTCTATATGAGATGTTCAAACATTCAATTATTTGAAACAAAAATTCGAACCAGAAATTCTCGGTCAGCAAGGATTTTTGAAAAACAACAGGAATGAACTACTCCTCTAAAGGGGTGAATCGAAAGTATTGCCTTGGTGGCGACTGAATATCCGTATGAGTAACTAGCCTTCTGAGGGGGCGAATTGGAATTATTTTTCCTGTATAGTTATCTATTCAAATAACTTTATTATCGAATATGAATTGAACTGTCTGGTCAGCAAACATTAATTTTGGTCTGCTGAGGTATAAACAGCGCTTTCGTAAAGTGCTGAAATATCCTGAAACAGGTCAATTTTTATTTTCAATTTTCCGCATTCATTCCGAAAATTGAATATACAAGGTGATCCACTTTCGAGTTGAACATCCTTTACTTGATTTTATTCTTAAAATCACCATGGAGCACTGAATTCTTCAGTGCATCACACATATGGTTTGTATTTAGTGCGCCCGTTAAATTGAGTGCTCTCATAAATACATATAGTTTTTATCCATACTATCAATTTCTAAGAAATCACTTGAAACAGGTCGACTTTCATCTTCGAATTTCCACATTTAGAAGGAAAATTAAATGAACAGAGTTATCCAGTTTGGTTTATGACGTCCACGACACTTTTTCAATTAGAACACCCTGAATACTATTCCACTTTTGTAATCTCCATAATAAGCTGAGTTTCAGAATATATTTCATACAGGTTTTCTATATAGTGCATCCAATGAATTGAGTGCTTTCATGAAATAGTGGATAAATTCGTTGAGAGTTAAAGAAACATTTTTTGTAAAGAACGAGGATTCCAAAAATTCAATAATATATAGGATGTCATACCTCAAACAAGGAGTATATTCAATTTTCTTTTATAGATCTGGGAAATTGAAGATCAAAGTCGACTTGCTTCAGAAAATCTTTCAGACATGGATAAAAATGAATGTATCCACTACTTTACGAGAGCATTGAATTATCGGCACACTGTATTATAAATCTTATGTATTATGCATTGTTAAATCCAGCTTTCCATGGAGATATCAAAAATAGAATAATGTATAGGTACTGTAGGTATAAGGTGTTCCGATTGAAAGAATCGTCGCGGTCGTCATATCCCAAACGTATTTTCGATTTTTCGCTATAAATGTGGCGGATTGAAAATACAAATCGACCTGTTTCAGGAGATATCTCGGAGATTGATAGTATGGATAAAAATGAATCATTCCAACTACTTTACTCATGTGTCATATACTATTACCTACGGCCACTGTAGAAAGTAGGCAAGAACACACGAGATACAGCCTGAGTAAAGATCTCTTTACTTAACGTAGGTACAGTAAGCAGATCGCACAGTTTTCGTTTATTCCGCCAGTATAATAGGTATGTCATGATCGCGTAATCGCCGTCAACAGCGGATGACATAAATGTCAAGAACTATATAATGCAGACTGATTGTCCAAAATTTTTTGATGATGATATGGCAGTAGGTATAGTACGTTATGCGTGTTGTAAAGCAATTACGCACTCATGGAATTACGCACTCGCCGCCCCGCGGCTGCGTAACTTTTCCATTCGTGCGTATTATGCTTCTTACAACACATTACGTAATTTACAGCTCCCTTTGAATACCAAAAAAATCGAATAATATACAGGGTGTTTCATAATTGAATGTCAATATTTGGGGACGCAATTCTTGGGCCCATTCTAAGAAGAAAGTTTCATATGAACGTATGACCTAAACATCCTAACTTTTGAGATACAGGGTGGTGAAGTTCTCAAAAATTAATAGTTTTTTATTAATATCTGTAATACCACTTCAGATATTCTGATGAAATTTGGCATACATGTACTATGTATCAAGAGGCATCAGTTAGCGTACCACATTTTTTGTTGTTGCCACCAGTGGCGTTCGTATGGAATTTCACATACCTATTTTGGCAGACATTGATGGTACGCCACTGATTAATCTCCAAATTGAAATCATTCCTGAAATTCCCGATCATTTCTAAGCAAATTTGATCACTACAATTTTTTCAATCTGATGCACGGTTTTCGCTTAAAAATAAAAAGCTTTTCACTACATGATTATAGTAATATTGTTTATATGATAATATCACAATGCAGAGAAATAGTTTTTATTTTTAAGATCAAATTTCAGAAATACAATTCATAGTTCATGAACTTTGTATTCGTATTTGGTATTTTCGAATTATAACTTCTCATTGTAGTAGGCTATATTAATTTTCGAGAATTTTACCACCCTGTATCTCCAAAGTTGGGACGTTTAGGTCATACGTTCATATGAAACTTTCTTCTTAGAATGAGCCCAAGAATCGCCTCCTCGAATATTGACATTCAATTATGAAACACCCTGTATATAGGGTGTGTTCCATTTGAAAAAATTTTCGCGGTTGTCATAACTCAAACGTGAATCACTCTGTATATTTAATTTCCCGCATAAATGTGGCAGATTGAAAATAAAATTCGACATATTTCAGGATATGTCTCAGAAATGAATAGTTTGGCTAAACATGAATTTATTCAGTTCTTAAAAAATAATTGAGGATATTTTTTAGCGCAAACGACATAAATATATAGATAATAATGGCTATTCAACATTTTTTCTAGAAAAATGTTATGTATTTAAAGCTAAACGACAATATATCCTTAACGTTTTTCGATCAGGTTATGAGCGAAAATCAAGAGAATCAAATTCAGAGCTTTTCTGAGAGAATAGAAGATGTCAGCCGTTTCAATTTTCTACTAGTAATAATCTCTGGTAACAGCAAAAAAGTATATCATACACCTAGGGTGAGAAAAGAACTATTATACAGGATGTTTCAAATGTGTATCCGTTGCTAGAAAAAGTAGAACCCTGTAAAATTAGTTGGGTTAGCTCAGTAAAATAATTTCGTCACAGCATCCGTATCAAAAATAGAGGCTACACATTGTTCACAAATGGCTGTACAACATAGTGTGGTTATACCGGCTATTTCAAATGCTTCTTTTTGATGTGGTGGTCTGAGATGTTGAACCCTTTCCGAGTAAATAATCATTACCTACGTTCGCAAAAATGCTGTTCTGTTATGCCTGTTTTTTCAGGACCCTCTTTGGGAATATGAAAAACATATGGGGTTGGAAATCATGGAGAACAATATTATGAGGTCAGTTTTTCTGTAAAATATTCCTAATATGATTTCATGAAAAATTTCCCCCTTCCCATTTTTCATAAAAACGCACGGCACTGTCCAAAAAGATGTATGTCTCTGAAAAACTGATTCTATGGTCATTCATACTGGTCCCAATTTGGAAATATCGCACGATTCTTAACTGAGATATAGAGGGGAGGTCGTTTGAAATGAGACACTCTTTAGATTTGTTATTCTTGAATATTTTTTCATGGAACTTGGTACAGATCTATTTCAGAAGACTCTAGGGAGTGTATAATCTCTTCTCTAATATAACTCGTTGTCTCGTATCTCGTTGGTTGCATGCAGTTGCAGTTGTATTATGTTCTCAATTACCATTCCCTTCAAAATTCAATATCTTTTTTTTAAGATAGCATTTTTCAAATTTCAATTTTAACAATAATTTAGAATCTATAAATATATATCTTCGAAATGTACTCCAGAAATTCGTTCCATCTGGCCTTGCCTTGCCCTTCCAGAAGAATTTGAAGCAATATACTTACCCCGAGTCTGCTTGAAAAATTTGATTAACTGATCAACACGGCGGTAGGGTATATAATATATGGAAGTATACTCATTATTATATATATACATTTAGGAAGTCCGCTGCTACTGTTTTTTCTAATAATCAAGGTTTTTGCCAATGAGCTCTGAAATAACGGGGTGTGAGTAAGCGATATAAATTTTTAGAAGTTTTTTTTTCAAGTTGTTTATCGATAAGTTTAGGTAGGTTCTGAGATATTGTTGATAAGAATTAAAAAAAAATCATACTTTCTCAAAACACGACTTGTATATGTTTTTTAAAAAAGAATATATTGGCATGAATTGAAAACCATATTGTGTTGAGTATGGATCACACTTCAATTCAAAACATAATGAATTAATGAAGCTGATTGTTTAACAACTCACTTTTGCCACAGGGCGTTAAAAGCGGAAGGTCAATTATAACTTTTGTCTTTTCCTGTATAATGACCAAGGCATTCAGGTTTTCTTGGGAGCTCAAATTCAGGCTGACATTCCGAAACATATAAATCTACGATTTGGTCGAAATTCCACCAGTACACTTTTTGTGGCCGATTTTTTGCTGATAATCGTATATTCACCAATGGAAATAGTATAAATAATTCATCCAACAAAAATAGACTCCTCGTATGAATTCTGAATGATAATAATAGTAAGGTATGATATGGTTTCTAAACCGAAAAAATAACAAAATACAAAAATGTGTCATCTGAACAGCCGCTCCAAATATTACCGAGACTTCTACAAGGCCAGCTCAAGTGAATCGCATCCGATTTGACTCCCATACCATACCATACCATACCTGGCACAAAAATAACATACATTCTGTCCGAATGGAAAAAATTGCAAAATAACGCGCACACTAAAACATACACTGTGAGCAATGACCATCCAGTGACCCGAACGATTCGATGCTTTCCCGGAAATCGGACAAAAGAACATCCGGATGGCGCGGTCATCAAGGCCTCCTAGATGAAGCTCGTTGATGATAGCCCCGCGAACTTTAAACACCAGTTGGTGAGTTAAGGTGTCGGTGATAACAGCTAGTTGACAAATTTTTCGATCGGGCTATACTGTAAGTCACCTTATTTGTTTATTTCCAAATATTTCATCACGAATTATTCGTGGAAGAACTCCAACAATTTTCAAAAAACCTAATCACATCAATAGTCGGAGCACTACAATTTTTTTTTAATATACAAAATGTGATTATACTACAACGTTAGTGCAATATATTCAGTCCCTGCATGGGGTCCTGATTCCTGAACATATTAGGATTGCTTGATTACTTGGTGCTATCAACTCACATTTATCGATTCGGGATATCAAATTGACTTGTATGCAACATTAATTTGAGTTCGCAGTAAACTTCCAAAATGCATCTGACTTACTTACTCAAAATGCGTTGAGCAATGATGCGGCTGTAGAACTGCGAGAGCATTAAAACATTAACATTGCATGTTCCACCAAAATAGAACTTTCATTTCTTTCTATGAGTGCCTCGAGCATCGTCGGGAATAATTGTTGCACTGAACTCAGTGTAGAGGGAATAAAGGACGCAATTTTTGCAAGGTATAAGATGGTAACAGCATGTGTTGAGAAAACTGGTCAAGACAGATAAATGAACTCTCATTTTTCCAGTTTGGTGATATGCGTGAGAGAATATGGATTTGTCAGAGAACGTCATCGTCATCTCCACTTTTGTGATAGAGTTGGAATAGTTGGATGATCCTTTAATGGATAGATAAAGATAGATAAAAAATATCGGTACAATACAACTGATATCGGGCTCTTCTTTTTGCAATACCATTTGTGTTTCTCCATTGTGATACCGCTGTGTTAAACTTATCTCAATCTGCAGCTTTCACGTGGGGCAATATCTTACATGGGTGTGTGTCTCACCTAACAACTTGAAAAGAGTGAAGTTGTTAATTATTCTAGATTTTTTGGGAATTTCTCTCGTCATTTGTATAATGGAAAAAAATGTGTATTATCTCAATACTCGTATGTATAAAAGTAAGGATAAACCTGATGATGAGCCTCAAACCGTCATTGCGTTAAAAACTTGCGGTTTATCGGAAAACCTTAAAGAAAAAATCAATCGATGGTCAGTGACAGTGGGGAACGTTCGAAGAAGATAAGAAAATAGGTAAATCGAGAATGTATCCAATTTTTACTGAGCTTTCACAGATGTTTCGAGGACAAATCTGCTTCCGTTTTCAATGACATGGAAATGGCAAATTACCCTTGCAATTGTTCTTCTTGTTTTCGCCTTTCGACACTTCTAAGTGACAGGAATTGACTATTGACAGAAATATGTGATAGTACAGAAGTTCGATGTATGCGAATGTATCTTAGTAGTATCCTTTCTTGGAATTGCATACTTATCTATTACTCAAAGTAGAAGAGACTTTACGACAAATTTCAAATATACTTCATTTTTATTTTTGATTTATTCACATGTCTAGACCTATTGAAAGAATGCTTACCCTGATGTAAATGCTTATATGAGTATATTGCGTATTGCAGCTAGCGCATAAGTCTTTTTCTTAAAAAAGGGATATCAGTGGCTTGTAATTCAGGAAAATGGTAGTTTTACTATGCAAAAATCCAGTAGTCGATTTTATCATCGTTTCATAATTATGTTTTTCGGATTGCTGAATCCGTATCTGGAATTATCTAACAAAACTTCCTGGTGCGTTTTGAGATATTCGCAAAAAACAGACATTTTCGAACTTTTTTTTGGTTTTAATGATACCTCATTCAAATATGATATTCATTTTACTTGGTTGTTTGGGATTTTCTCTCCTCGTTTCTATAAAATAAAAGTATTCGTATTATTTCAATATATTTGTAGAGGGACAAATCAGATGATTTGCCCCAAAATGTCACTGCGTTTAACAAATTTTTCTATCAGGTAATTTAAAAGAAAAATCCAGTAGCTTGTCAGTGACAATTTGTTTGAAAAAATTTTTGAAGGAAAGAAATATAGATATATTGAAAAAATATCGAATTTGTACTTATCTTTGGACGTTTCGGGACCGATTTTGCTCCCGTTCTCAACATGTAAATGCAAATTATTTTTCTTTGAAAGTTGTGCTGCGTATAGTTTGACACTTTTCAGTGTCATACTGATGTTGGCATATGAATGAGTGATTTTAGTCTACAAATGTGTTACAGGATGTTTTCATTAATTGATCTTGAATCTACCATTTTCATGTTCAGTTTTCAGTAGTGAATACCATGTTCTATCAATATCAACTGAACAGGAAGCAATGCTATTGTCTCCGTTTAGAAGAATGCAAGCGGATTCCTTTATTTTTCTTTTTTGTTTGTTATCTTCCTTTCCTATGATTTTGATATTATTCCACTATGCCAACATCAGTATGACACTGAAAAGTGTCAAACTATACGCAGCACAACTTTCAAAGAAAAATAATTTGCATTTACATGTTGAGAACGGGAGCAGAATCGGTCCCGAAACGTCCAAAGATAAGTACAAATTCGATATTTTTTCAATATATTTATATTTCTTTCCTTCAAAAATTTTTTCAAACAAATTGTCACTGACAAGCTACTGGATTTTTCTTTTAGATTACCTGATAGAAAAATTTGTTAAACGCAGTGACATTTTGGGGCAAATCATCTGATTTGTCCCTCTACAAATATATTGAAATAATACGAATACTTTTATTTTATAGAAACGAGGAGAGAAAATCCCAAAGAACCAAGTAAAATGAATGTACCACCTCCTCGATTAACCTACAGACAGTATTTAACAAATATGATATTTTCCACAATTTCGGGACACAATCTGCACTGTTGGTCAATTGTTCTAGCAAGATAGCGAGATACAGCAATTCAAATATGGGTGAATTTTTCAAATAATGATATTTCAAGTTTTGAGTTAACTTCGAACTAAATAATAGGAAAATACTGATCCTAAGAGGAAACTTGTCTGGAGTAAAGTTTTAGTGAATCTGTTTTAGTTTCCATTCTTATACAAGGCGATGCGACTAGATCAAGTGGTTGACTCATAATTTGCAAAAAACTAAAAATTGGAAAATTAAATTCTGATAGGATTCCAACTGAACCCTATGTAAATTATAACAGGGTGTTGCGAAATTCGACCGACAACGCTTGCAAGGTATCAAGGTAATAGCCCTCGTGATTTCATAAACACTGAGATAGGGACATACGGTCTTCGAGTATTCAGTTCTCGAGATACAGGGTGTTGAAGTTTGAGAAATTGAAATAGTTTTTTCGCAATATCTCAAGAAAAATTGAATGCAATGCATTCAAATTCGGTATATGGTTTCATCTTTCAATGGTTAATTTTTTGACCAGAAAGACATTTCGAGAATTTCATCCACAGGTGCGTTACAGATGGTTTTGATAAATTTTCTTCCCCTATTTTGTACGCCACTGATGAAATTTCGATTATTTCCAATTTCTCGAATTGATTGTTCAATTATGTTGAAAAAATGCATCACCTTCAACTGAACTAAAATGAACATTTATCGAGATATTTGACCCAGAATAGAAGTAAGCATAGTAATTTTTCATCTTTCTCAGTAGTAGAAGATAACAGAAATGTTTGTTTTCTTTTTATGCGTGGAATAACTATTTCTGTTCAGCTACAGAATAATATCTGGATAGTATCTAATCTACTCAACACCAGAAAAATATTTTTGCAGTTTTCTACCACTGAAAATGATGAAATATTACTAGGCAATCTTCAATTTTGGGTCGAATATCTCGAAAACTGTTCATTTCAGCTCAGTTGGAGGTGATGCATTTTTTGAACAAAATTGAACAATGAATTCGAGGAATTGAAAGTAATCAAAATGCAATCAGTGGCGTAGAAAATATGGGAGGAAAAGTTGCCAAACCCCCCTGTAGGGCACCACTGGATAAAATGTCCGGTATGGCTTCCTGGGAAAAAATGACCCATGCCCATTCAGAGATGAAACCGTATACCGAACTTGAATGCATTAGGTATATTCAATTTTTCTTGAGATATTGCGAAACAACTATTTTTATTTCTGAACTTCAACGCCCTGTATCTCGAGAACTGAACACTTGAAGATCGTATGTCCCTATCTCAGTGATCGCGAAGTCACGAGGGCTATCACCTGTCAAGTGTTGTCGGTCGAATTTCGCAACACCCTGTATATGTACATACAGGGGAATCAATTGCCATATTTCCCGAGATATCGGTATGAAGGGTATTATTCGCATCATTGGTGAATATTTCAAGACAATAAAAATTAAACGGAATGACCGAGTAGAGTAGAGCATCTAGCTACAATGTACTTGAACATGCACGTTCATGACAAGACAAGGTAGGTCATCGTCAACCCAACAACACTTTTCCAAAGAATGACTATTGCTAAAGAATATGAAGAGGAGTTACTGGAATTCTTAACATACGAAACTCAGTCCCTGAAAGAAACGAAATTAAGTCTGTATTACAAGTATTTTGATTTTGTGTGAGACACTATAGCAGCTGAGAAAATGATACATGTGATTGCGAGGAGGGCTACTTGTTACATCGTGTGGTCTGGTAAACTGGTCAAATTATCAACATTTGTATCAGGTATACAGGTTGTCCCGAAATAAGCCTGTCAAACTTCACCAGCGGCTTTTACGATCGAAATTAGGAAGAAAAGTTCTAATAAATCAGTCGATAAATGTCTCTAAGGGAGCTACGACCCCCCCGGAAAAAGGATTCCTGAAGATGGAATTTCTTGAATATTTCCGAAACGCCATGTGCTAAAATGATAACTACATTAGATATTGCTCAAACTTTTTTGGATTCATATATTTCGACAATTTGATCTTTGATTATGAAAATCCGCGCCTTTTTACATAAAACAGGTGCTCCTGTTCCGTGACGATCAGATGTATCATTTTCGAGTTAATCACCTACGCAAAATATTAATGAGACAGCTGGTGTTAGTTTGAACTATTATTCTTGACTAACTTTATCCCACTAGAGTTGGTGGTAACCTATTAATTTTTCACAGGGAACTCGAAGCTGTAGTTTTTTTATTTGAAGAGATACGAATTTGAAATTCACAAGGATTATATTATCGATGATGGCGCTCTCCTTGAACCCAATGACAATTTTCTTCAACCATCTGTTTAATCGGAAGTAGATGCAACTTTTTGTTTCAAATGGCACCCTATATATTACTTTAGCCAATATTATTTGCCTTGGAATTCTCTATTCAACTATGTATCCAAATTTGATATTCGTTCATTGATTGGTTGATTGAATTGAAGTTGGCTGTGGCCCGAATGCAATGACATTTCGATGTTTGATAGGCTTAGAAATCCAAAGATCATTGCTTAGACGATATTTTCAGAATATTTTCCATACCCTGATTGGCCCAGATTTCCAATGATTTCATTGAGTTTAAAAAAATCATCCGAAAATAACTCACGATATTGAGAAAACTAAGATAGAAATTCAGTTTTTTTTCATTTGGCTACTTATGAAGGAACTATTTATCCTTCTTTCTTGCCATAATATGATCATCCATTTGGATACATGAAACTGCAATTGTTGTAATAATTGATGTATCGTCCTAATATAGTGAGTTATTTTCGGATGATTTTCCTAAACTCTTTATTGAAACTATTGGCAAATTTCCGGGACCGATTAGGGTATGGAAAATATTCTGATAATAGGGTCTAAGTGATGATCTTTGGATTTCTAAGCCTATCAAGCATCGAAATGTCATTGTATTCAATGCCAATTAATGAATGAATATCAAATTGTGATACATAGTTGAATAGAGAATCTTAAGGCGCATAAGATGAACATCAGAAATATACAAGGTGACATTTGGAAAAATTGGGTCTACTTCCAATCAAACAGGTGGTTGAAAAAAATTGTCATTGGGATCAATAAAAGCGCCATTATCGATTATATATTATGTGAATTTCAAATTTGTATCCCTTCAAATAAAAAACTCCAGGCTCTGTTACACGTCTCCTGTATCACCCGGTATAGTATTATTAAAATTCACATCCATAATAATAATAATAATAATAGAAGATTTTAATGCCAGTCTAGTTAACTCGGTACATGAAATTGAATTAGTTAAACCACTGACAAAAGGCAGAGTTAGCGCTTTGCCTGCTAACACAGTTAGCAGGTGTGCACTCTCTTACACTCAACCTGTAAAAAAAAACTTATGATTGGACTCTAACACTCTAGTCCACTTACTTAAAAACTAGTTTCATAATTACTAATCAAATAAAAAATGATTATATTGAAATGCAAATGAAAATTATTTCGTAATGCCGAATAACATCGTTAGGTTGAATAAAACACGATCAACTTACTTTAGAGGGGCCTGGGACTAATCACCCCGGTACTGGGAGGGATTTTCCGGGCTACTCTGGCGCTGGGATATGTTCCGCCAGCCTGGAAATCAGCAAGAGTAGTCTTTATCCCAAAAATGGGAAAAAAGGACTACACAGTAGCAAAGTCTTTCAGACCCATTAGTCTAACATCCTTCCTGCTCAAAGCGCTGGAGAGGGTGGTGGACAGGTTCCTGCTAGAGGGGCCCCTGATGGCGAGCCCCTTCCACAGGAACCAACATGCATACAGAGAGGGGAGGTCGACTGAAACGGCCCTCCATGCTGTAGTGCGAAGGATCGAAAGGACATTAGAATCCAAAGAGGTAACGCTGGGGGTGTTCTTCGACATAGAGGGGGCCTTCGATAAGGCAAGGACAGACACAATACAGGCAGCACTACAGGCCAGAGGAACTCCTCTGGCAATGGTCAGCTGGGTTGTGTCGTCACTGATTAGTAGAAAGGTAGAAGTAGTTCAGGGAGACCATAGACTGAGTAGGGTGGTCGATGGGGGCTGTCCTCAGGGAAGTTGCCTCTCTCCCCACCTATGGTGCTTGATCATGGATGAACTCCTGTGCAAGCTCACCCAAGAAGGTTTCGAGGCGCAGGCATACGCAGACGACGGATTGGTTCTGGTGAGCGGCCGATTCCTAGGGGTTGTCTGTGAGCGTATGCAGGTAGCCTGCAGGATAATCGAAAGATGGTGTGATGAAGCGGGGCTCTCTGTTAATCCGACAAAAACAGAGATGATCCTATTCACCAACCGAAGGAAAAGGGACGGGTTTAAACCACCTACTATGTTTGGCCAAGAGTTGGAGTTAGTCCAACAGGTCAAATACCTAGGCGTCGTCTTGGACCCAAGACTCTCATGGAGGCAACACGTAGATAGGATCGTGCAAAAGTCGGTGGCAATTTTTTGGCAACTAAGGAGGGTCGTTGGGAGAACTTGGGGTATTAACCCCGAGATCATGCGCTGGCTATATACAGCGGTCGTAAGACCAAAGATTCAATATGGATCAGCTGTGTGGTGGCCAGGCGCAGAAACCAGCACAATCAGTCGAAAGCTCAGTAAAGTTCAGAGGATGGCCTGCCTGGCGATCACAGGAGCTATGAGGACGACGCCAACTGCAACCCTAGAGGTACTGCTGGGGCTGCCGCCGCTTCCAATCTGGATTAAGAGGGAAGCAATGGCGGCCTATCTGAGGATGCGGGACTCGGGGAGTTGGGCTAACGGAGGAGCAGTGACAGGTCACGCGGGAATTGCGACATGGGTGGAGCAGGAGATCCCTATCTCCACCCTAAGAGTGAAGAACGCCCAAAATAGGCTGAGATGGAATAGAAGGTTCACCCTCACTATTCCAAGCAGGGAACAATGGGAAGAGAACAGAGTGGAATTCCACCCGGGGAGTCTAGTATGTTATACGGACGGATCGCGCCTAACTGACAAACAGGACTCAGGCGCAGGAATTTACTTAGAAGGATTAGGCATAAGGGAGAGCTACGCTCTTGGAAAGTATACCACAGTTTTCCAGGCCGAGGTCTTTGCCATTCTGGCAGTAGCGGAGAGGCATGAGGTGAAAGAGGGACCAGAGCAGAAGATTTACATCTGCTCGGATATTCAGGCGGCTCTCAGGGCTGTCTGCCATCCTAAACCAAGCTCAGCCTTCGAACTAGTATGGGTTCCGGGGCACAGGGGGGTGCCCGGGAACGAGGTGGCCGACGAGCTGGCTAGAATCGGATCCGCGACACCGTTCTGGGGGCCGGAGCCTGCACTGGGCATAACAAGAAGCCAAACATCGTCTGCCCTTAACAAATGGGCGGACGAGGCACTAGAAGTATATTGGAGGCGTATAGGCGGCTGCAGGCAATCGAGAGACCTGGTGGCCGGTCCTAGCAAGCCAAGGACGGCTTGGTTGCTGGGCAGGGATCGCCAAGTCCTGCGCCTTCTTATAGGGATACTAACAGGGCATAACAGGTTACGCAGATACCTATCACTCATAGGTGTGGAAGATAGCCCCACTTGCCGCGAATGCGGAGAAGATGAGGAGACATCACTTCACTTCCTCGGAGAGTGTGAGGCGTATGGAAGGATAAGATTCGAAATCTTTGGAGTAGATAAACTACAACAGGAAGACTTGGTCGAATTAGAGTGGACGGACATCCTGACCTTCATCAGAAGGACGGGAAGGTTCGAAAAGGACAACTAAAAGAGGGATGTGTAGATATGTGGAGAGCAGGGGTTGGCAAAAAGGGCCCATGGGGGCCTACTTGCCTGGCTACAGCCTCCCCACAATACTACTACTACTACTACTACTACTACTTTAGACATAATGTTCTATCTCTTGGAGCGCAGGGAAGGACGTTCTCTTAATGTTCGTGGAACATCGTGCGTACCTAGGAGGATAAGGAGTGGAGGTAGGTGTTGGACTTTTGGAGGTCATAAGTTCTTGGGAATACTTTCATAGGCGAAGAATTCCAGAGCTTCGCCGTTTTATAGACGAACGAGTTTTGGTAGAGTGTTGTTCGACATTTTCCAAGGTTAACGACGAGATGTGCTGACTGGACCTGTCGGTATTGCTAGTGATGGAATTATAGCAGAGATTTCTGGGGAACATTTACCGTGGAAGTATTTGTAAAAAAAATAGAAGGTCGCCGACTTTTCTACGGTGTTCTAATGAGATCGAGGAGTTAGTGAGTGTGGCATCACCCACCAGGCGAATGGTTCTTCTCTGGATGGAATCTAAGAGCATCAGCGTATGTTTGGGTGCTGGACCCCATGCATATGAGAACAGTATTCTAGAACTGGCCGTATGTGCTTTGAAGATTATGGCAAGCTGCTGAGGTGTAAAGTAGAATTTCGCACGGAACAAGAATCCGAGTTTTCGTGAAGCAGCTTTTGCGATGGATCGGACATGATTTTCCCATGAGAGAGTATTGCTGATGATGATACCGAGCATAGATATAGTGATCTTGGTTGGAATGGTGATACCAGACAATGTTATATCAGGCATACTGAGTTCCGCCTCTCTAGAGAGAATACAGGCTTAGTTTTGGTGGCGTTGAATTCAATTAGATTATTGGTTCCCCAGGCTGTAATTTCAGCAAGATCGTCATTGACAGCGCAGACCACTAGGGAGTGTGATCTGTTAATAAAAATCTATCATTCTAATTGAGGGAATCCTCACTTTATTAACGCTAACCTAACCAATGCCTCTACATATCCATCACCGATTCCCAATACAATTCCGGCTTGTCGTACCCCAAGCTCTCCGGAAAATCGCACCCGAGCTCTGCCACGGTGGATCCCACTTCTTGAACGATGTACGGGTAAATCTTGTCGACGTCTTTGCCGCACTTGTTCTTCACCATCTCGAGGAATCTGACCGCGAGGGCGTAGTCGTTAAGGCGTCTGCAAGCGTGCAGGGCAGCGATCACGATCCGGGGCTCCGGGACCGAATCGTATCCGGTGAGGTCGTTCATTGCCTGCCTCACGTCCCAGCCATCGGCGTCTTCACGACTGAATAGGCACTCGTACCTATAAAAAATGGAATAAACAAGAGGTGTTTTTCGAAGATGAGGCATATTTACTATCAAGATGTAGATTTCATGGAAAACATTTCACCAAATATGACCTACTCCAGTACATAAAACTTGCAGAATACCTAATAAGGGCCGTTTACTTTACTGACAATTGTGACTTATAACCTTATAGTATAATCAAATGGTATTTTCACTTGGAAAATACTCTAGCAGTCGGTTTCTCTGTGGTTTCATATGGTTTTGGAGGTGCTAAATTCGAATCTGAATTTTGCAAAGAAAATTCCCTGGAGCGCTCCGAGATATTCGCAAATGACAGCAAACTTTTCGGACTTTTTTCGGTTTTTTCCCGTAACTCGGAAATTATAGGTTATTTCGAAAAGACCGCATCATAGAAAGTTGAAGTATATGAAATTTCGTAAATATAATTGTTATTGCACATGAATGTAGGACTAACGAGTACGGAGATAGAGCCAGTTGAAAATTGACCAAATTTGCGTACTTTTAAAAAAATAGCATTTCTCGTCGGTTTTCGCAGATAATTCCAAATCTACGTAGTCCTCGAAGAAACGAACTATACTGCCTAATGTGAAAGACTCCTAGTCATCTGAATACTTCACCTCTGTCAGCATGTAACTCATGACTCTCCACTCGTCACTGTACTTAGTATATTCACATCAAAACTAGGAAGAATATTGGTTTTCTTACAGCAATATCGTGCAGTAAGATATAGAGAACGACCAGGATCTTGATTTCGATGAAGAATTATCCATCACTAACTCACCTAGAGGTATCAACTTTATTTACTATCAAAATCTACTACAATAGAACTTTCATATGGCCATACTTGAACCCACCATCTGGCTAGTTACCTTGCACATAGAAATGTCTATCAATTTCTCTTTCAGACCATCGTATGGAGGATGTTAGTACCCTGGAGAAAATACGATTTGCTCCACCTGCACCACCATCCCCAGAACCGGGTCCTTCAGGGTACCAGCCTCCTGCCAAACGACGATGTAGTGACGATTAGATTTCAGATTATAGGATCACCCTCATCTGATTAATTGCTTTCTATAACCCTAGACTTCTAATGAAGCCTAATATTTTCTTGACGGTTGAATTTTCCGCCTCAACAAGCGTTATCTATAGACCTGTTCTAGGGTAGTCAGCCTTTGGTGGACTGGTACATCACATGAACAAAGGTGCTTCGCGGTTTAGTGTCAGTCACCTCTAGACCCATTCTTTTTAGTAATAGCTCAGAGGGTAGTGCTTTTGCTCTTGTTTGCTGAGACTCACTAGCTTACGAATTGTTGAAGAACTCTTTCCTTCTCGTTTACCTGGAGTTGCTCAACAGTAGTAGGATTTTTCACTTCATTCTCATTTTCTGAGCTCTGTGATAAGGTGGCATTTGCTTGTCTCACAGAAAGGAAAAATGTGAGCTCTGCACTTTTTTGCTAGGCGATTAGCTGCCTCGTTCCCTTGACGCCTTGGAACCCACATGAGCGAGAATTGATTCTGATACTTATTCATCACAAAAAGGTAATTTTGATAGTTTGAATAGTTTATCAGTTCTTTATATCAAAATGTTCAAAGAATATCTTATAGCATTTGGAATTATTGTATTGCAATTATAACAACTATAATTCCAGCGTACAGAATTTTAATTTTATTTTTTGTCCCCCACCCCACAGAATACAAAAACAAAACAATGACCTATTTATATGTTTTAGAGCTTTAATGAATATAGGTTCATATGATCCAAATCATATAAGTTGAAAGGATGAACATGAGTGTGGCAACCACGACTAAAAGACGTCTCCAAGTCCGAGCGCTCTAACAGCCGTTCATCTTTTTTTATAATGACGAAATTTACATGAGCTCCATAGGAAATTTGATTCTCTCCCAATATGTGCATGATGCTCTGTATCTGAGTAATACGTAAAATATGAATTATCTGCGAAAACCGACGAGAAACGCTATTTTTTGAAGAGTACGCAAATTTGGTCAATATTCAGCAGGCTCTATCTCCGCACCCTTCAGTCTTACATTCATGAGCAAGAACAATTTTATCTAGGAAATTTTATATGCTTCAACTTTATATATGGCGGTCTTTTTGATATAATGTATGATTTCGGAGTTACGGGCAAAAATCGGAAAAAAGTGCGAAAATTTCGCTGTTTTTTGCTAATTTCTTAGAACGCTCCAGGAAATTTTGTATGCAAAATTCAGATTCGCATTCAGCACCTCCTATAACATAAAAAACCACAAAAATACCGATTATTTGAATTTTTTCTCGGATTGGGTCCTAAATTACATAGAAAGATTTCAGTCCCAGCTTCCAGGACCAAAAATAGTGAAAAAAGTTAATATAAACATGAGCCCAGAAATGAATCTGGGAACATATTATCATAGCCATCTGAAAGAGGGCCCAAGATGATGGGCTTTTGTGAATATTTCCGAAATCCTCTGTGTTGAGATAACGAAATATTGTACATGTTTATTACTTTTCATGCCGGATTAGTAAATGTTGAACATTTCCCGAAATGTTTATCAGGGGAATGGGAAATAGGTGGGGCTAGAGGCATTACTTTCCCCAACATTTTTTTCTATGCAATTTTCGGCAGTTTGACCAGAAATATAGAAATATCATTTTCACCTTAAAATGTGTTCAGTTTCACCATGTTCGAGATAAATCAATTTTAAAAGTCTGTTGCGTACTAAAAATAGTAATTTTCCTTAATAGGTTACCTACCATAATATTTCTCAAATTAATATTTTCTATGTTCCTCTCATATTTCGAGTCGAACATCACAAGTAGATGTTGGAATGAGGTTATTTTTTATCGAAAAATATTTTTAGGAAAAATTTCGTATCCTCTATTATAAGGAAAGAGCACTAATTTCGAACGAAAAACCGACTATTTCCGAAGGCAAGTACTTTTCGTCTGCAGACACTAACTTTTCCTCCGCAAACACTTTTCGTCTGTTGCAGGGTTGCCAGTTCTACTGAATTTTCAGTAGATCTCCTGATTTGCATAGTTATCTATAGATCTACTGAAACATTTCATAATCTACTGAAAAATATTTTGTCTCTCGTAAAGATACACTGTTTTCGAGAAAAACCAAATAACCAAATTCAACTCCAAAATTTTCGAGGTTGTCGGAGAAGCCATTCAAGACATCTGTTCAGATTACTTTATATTATCCATGATATATATCATTCTGTAATTCACCTCTCGAAGTGCGTACCACATATTACGAAACACCCTGTATATGAAACCACGAGAATCTGTGTAGGAGTAGAGTAGCTTTTCGCTCGAAATAATATACAAGGTGACTCTAAAATAGGTGGTCAAACTTTGGGAGCATATAGAGTGGGTGAAATAGTTACGAAAACCTCCGTAACATTTTTTTCTGAAGTGACCCCCAAGAAAGGAGGGCCTCGGAGAATGATTTTGTATTATTATCTCCAACACCTTGTATAATGGAAATCTAAAATTTTGTCCATCCACTTACTACTCAGTGCCGGTTCGAATGGAGTTAAAATCACCTCAAAATTAAATACAGGGGTGTGTCAAAAAATAGGGAGTTAGGGGGTAAAAATAACCCCAACTTTTTTGTTTATCGCAATTTCAGTTTTTTGACATGAAATTATGAAATATCAGGGCTATTTACATAGAAAAGGTGCTCTTGTTGCATCTTGATAAAATGAACTATTAGCGAATAAAACTTATTTTTTCAAGATTTGCATTTAAATTGCGATTTTGGTATGTACTCAAGTTTAATTATCTAGGTCAAATCTCGCAACTGAATTTTTACCTACTTCTAATCGTCTGATCAACTAAGAATCTGGCAGATGACAGTTGACAATACGTTACTGCGGCTCCAATGTGGCTGATCAGATTTGGTGATTATGGTCTCTAACTCAGTGTTAAATTCGACGTTCCATTTCGTTGGAGTTATGTTGTATGAAAATGTAATAAAATAAGGTAGAAAAAATCAGTGATAATAATGCTTCCGTTCAAATGCTCCAGGAACTGGAAGAAGATATCTAGAAGCATTTTTTCTAATTTTTAGAGCATTCACCTTATTTCATCTTCACTTTTTTATTTCAATAGTTAAGATAATGAAAGCTTGTTTTCAACAATATTTTTTATTTTAGTATTTTCAATAGGATCAGATCATAATCACGAAACTCGTCGTCTATTTTTAATTCATGAATTCCGACAACGAATTCAAAACTTCCAACCCCAAAAACCCTTACAAACCAATTTTGAATCGAATCGGACCATAATCACAAATCTGGTCAGTCACATTGGAGCCGCCATATTTTTTTTCTATCAAAAAGTCCATAACGCGTTGTCAACTGTCATCTGCCAGATTCTAAGTTGATCAGACGATTAGAAGTAGGTAAAAATTCAGGCGCAAGATTTGAACTAGATAATCAAACTTAAGTGCATACCAAAATTGCAATTTAAATGAAATCTTGGAAAAATTAATTTTATTCGCTAATGGTTCATTTTATCGAGATTCAACAGGAGCTCCTTTTCTATGTTAATAGCCCTGAGATTTCATAGTTTCATGTAAAAAAACTGAAATTGCGATGAACAAGAAAGTTGGGGTTATTTTAACCCCTATCTCCCTATTTTGACACACTCCTATATTTTAATTTTGAGGTGATTTTACCTCCATTCGAACTGGCACTGAATAGTTAGTGGAGAAACAAAATTTTAGATTTTCATCATACAAGGTGTTGGAGATAATAATACAAAATCATTCTCCGAGCCCCCCCTTTGAGGGGCTGTATCTTTCTTGGGGACTACTTCAGACAAAAATGATACCCAGGTTTTCGTAATTATTTCACTCACTCTATATACTCTCAAAGTTTGACCACCCATTTTAGAATCACCTTGTATTATAAAGATATGGTGTATTTTGTGGAAATGGTGGTACCAACCAGGTGAATTACCCTTCTCTGGATGAAATCTAAGAGCAT